AAATGTATATATATACATCCTGCTTTATATATAGGTTGGTAAATATATATTTGATATATGTATCAGGTATATGTATATAATATTGACGGATGAATATATATATGTATATATATGCATATGTATATATGAAGATGGATGAATATGTATATGAAAGAATATATATGTGCATATATATATATGTGAGAAAAGAATAAATATATATATGTATATATATATATATGTGTATATGTATATATGTGTGTATATATATATATATATATGTGTATATATATATATATATATATACTGATATATATATGTGTGTATATTGCTATATATATATATATATATATATATATATATATATATATATGTGTATATATATATATATATATATATATATATGAATATATGTAATGTATATATATATATAAATGTGTATATATGTGTATATATATATATATGTGGATATATGTGTATATATATATATGTGTGTAGCTATATATATATATATATGTGTGTATATATATATAAATATGTGTGTATATATATATATATATGTGTGTGTATATATATATATATATATGTGTATATATATATATATGTGTGTATATATATATATATATATATATATATATATATATATATATATATATATATATATGTGTATATATATATATATATATATATATATATATATATATATACATATATATATATGTATATATATTTAAATTATTATCCAGCAGCCCACAATACTATGCTTGAATTATAAATGTAGCCTTGTGAAAAGGCAAACTGAAATAGCCAAGGAAAAATTGAACACCCTTAACCTCAACAAACAGGACATATTCTTGTCTGTGTATTGCTTAATATATTGTACAGTAATTGTCATCTTTGATAATGGCTTATATAAGCCGAAAGCTTAGATTGCATTAAAAAATATGTATCAATATTGTGATTTTCTTTCTTCATTTAATGATAATGTTATTAAGCTTATCAGACATTATGAATAGAAATTACATCAAATAGACAACACTTGTCTATATTATTTAATGAAACATGTATGAAAAATATATTTGTTTTTCAAAAAAAAACATCTTTCAGTCGACAAACAATTATTTCGTCTTCAAGTTTTTGATTTTATAAGGAAAACATATGCCTGACGATGAATAAAGGATTATTCGAAAGTACTTGCATTTTAAAAAAAATATAAACTGGAAACAACAGACAACAGTTTTATAAATGAGGATCAATGGATTAACAATATTTTAATGCATACATTATACACTAGTAGTGATGGATGTCGCCAATAATAGCATTAACATTGCTGATTGATTCTATGTGTGATTATTTCTTTTTATATATATATATATATATATAAAATCTCAAACATTATGTCTACTTATTTTTATCATAATCCTTTCATATTTGCAAATATTTTTCTGTATATTATGATTAAATAAGGCAAGAAATATATTGTAACAGTGAGAATCATTTTTATTTCCCAAGTACTTTTCATCTCTTTCTGAGATCATTATCAGAGGTGCAACTGCTAAGCCAAAAACTATATGTAGCTATCCATTACTGAATTTTTTCTTTTGTGTTTAAATTCTATGGCTGGCAGTTATGCTTCAGTGTTCATTAGAATGTAAAAATTCATGCATTATGGACATTTTTTCTTCTTTTATGTTGGAATGTCATGATCAAGTGTGCATTAAAGCGAGAAAACTTCTTTTTATAGGCATTTTAAAACATTATTACAGTATTTATAGCTGATTCTATTCAGTGTTGGCTTCAATTTTTTAATGAAGATTACTTTGAGGATCTGTAGTTTTGTTATTTTCTTGGTGTAGAATAGTTGTTATCAATCAGTCTTTTTCTATACTATGCATGTGGACAGGAATGTTAGTGTAAATGTCTCACAATGGATGAATAGACAGGCATGTGTAGAGTAAGATGTCTTGATAATGTAGTTGTCGTATATCCAACATATATATATTTGTTTTTCTGTCAGTGATACATTCTCCTAAGAGACATTTGAATTGATATATAATGGTGGTTTTATGTAATTCATCAGTTGGTGAGGAGGAGTTATTGTGAATAATTAATTTGGTTCTACTGCATTTTGAATATTATATGATTAATTTTAATTTTTTATTGAGATCTGTGGGAGATATATTGCTATTAATGAGGTTTTTATGATTTTCTCATTCTGTTTCTAGTTAGCATGCATCTGGTCACAATATAAGTATTCGATATATTTAGGGTCCTTTGAGGAAGTACCATGTTCTATTTGACATGTGTTGAGGTTTTTGATAAAGTGTCATTTGTTCATCTAAAATGTGGTTTTGGAATCATTACTAATGAGAGTCTGCTTAATATTTTTTAGTTCAGTGTAGGAAATCCTTTTTGTGGAGAAATTAATTTGTGCTCAGTTAATTAAATTCTGTATAAATGCTATTTTGTAGTAATTAGGACATTCACTTTTATAGTTGAGAGTGTAAGAGTTTTTGCTTGTTGTTTCTTTTATATGGAGAGGTAGTAAATATGTTATTATTTGTGTCCACTAAAATGTCAAGGAAAGGGGTTTTGTTATCTTTAAGTCTGTATGTGAACTTGAGGGCAGTGTTTTTTAAAAGTTTTTTTCAAGTTCAAGTATTTCTTCTCTGTTTTTAACTAAAATAAGAATATCCTCTATATCTCTTAGGTAGATGCAGGGTTTCTTGGTGGTGCTAAATATATTATTTTCTAGGTTGGCCATGAAGAAGTTGCTGAAGGTTAAACCCATAACTGAACCCATAGAAACACCATTTCATCGCACATATGTTATTTTCATGATCATAGAATGGGACTTTGGTGGTACAGGTTAAAAGTAATTTTCTTAGTATTTTAGGTTTAATTTTTAATGGGAGGAGAGATGAATTGTTATATATATTCTTAATAATGTCAACAGATTTTCAATGTCAAGTGATGCTATGGTTTCATTATAAGGTTTTTCAGTGTTTAATATTTGTATAAGTTCAAGGGTTGAGTTAATGCTGTATTTGTTAAGTATGTATGGTGTAATTAATTAGGTGTTTTAGTTAGTTGGTAGACTAAGTGCTTATTGAATTTACCATTAGTTCATTCTGCATTTAATTTTGAATAATTTGTGAAATTTTTAGACGTTTATTTGTGGTGAAAAATTACATAGAAGTAACCATAGGCTTGCATCTGGTGCAAAGGAAAATAAGTTCCTTACCTCAATACACGACACCTAGCAACAGCATTTTGTTCCTTTGAAAATGTCATGAATCTCAACACCCCACATCACACACATTATATTATTCCAGAAGTGTATATTCTGTAACATTGTTTTTATACAGCTTAGCGTTGTTTGACCTATAGCTATTTGCATGCTGATTGGTCGGATTGGAGATTGCCATTTGACTCTGTGACTGAAAACACAGCAAAGAACGCTAATTGGTCAGGCAGCCATGATGTTGGCATGAGGGCTAAAGCAGTGAGAAGCAGAGCAATTTTTATGTTGGTGAAGTGTGCAGGAATTCAAGAATGGTGTATTGAAAAGAAGCATTCGGTCTTGTATGAGCAACATCAGAGGAATATTACTTCATTTAACTACAGGCATTTTTGGCCTTCCTCCCAATCATGGTGGACAGATGTTTTGATATTTGGCTAATACCTGAATTCAGTGGGGCTGCTACTGATCAACGAATTGTAGAATGAATTGAGAACATGGAATTGCCTTATGAACTCTGCAATATGAAGAAAATTGACTGGATACTGCCACTGCGCTTGTGAGTCAGGGCTCTTGCTGTGTACTGTCAGCTGTCTAAGTCAGATGCAGAGCGGATTAAGCAAACCCTTATAACTGCATATGTGGTAGATTCATCCAATGTGTTCAATTAATTTCTATCCTGACAATTTTGGCCTGGGAAAACTGTAGATGAATTTTTAGCAGAGTTAAAATGTTTAGCTCTTCTGGTTGGAGGGCAATTGCACGAGAAACGGATGACGTACAGATTTATTTCTGGACTGCCACAACAAGTCAAGTAACTTCTCTTGGCATCATCCAGAATCAATGCCATGACTTCGGACCAGATTTTGACTCTGGTTCAGGATGTTATGACCACTAGCAAGGCGCTCAGTGACTTGGTCGCTGCATCTGCTCAACAAACGATTGAAAATTTTCATATAAAAATCTATTTGTTGTATAATAAAAATGTAAACAAAACCAAAAATAAAGTTGTTTATTTTCCACCAAATTGGTCAACATTTAACAACAAATAACACAAATTCTGTTCCTTTTATGATCATAGTTCTTATGTGAACATTAATCAGCATTCAAAGAGCTTTCTAAAGATATACAATTTGACCATATTAGGAGATATGGAAATGTTAGCATATAGTGACCATTACCAAAATCTGCCATTTTGAATTTGGCCCAACTCGGTAAAACCCTTTTAATTCAGGCCACAGTCAAAAGTGCATCACAAAATTGTGTATATATCTTGTCATAAAGTAGACAAATTTGTTGATAAATTTAAAAAAAAATTAAAGATACATTTTTTTTGAGAAATTAAAGGTCAAGGTAAAATTATATATTTGAACAAAAAAATAAATAGATCACCTTTTAGATCCATCCAAGTACTTTAAAATTTTATATAATTTAGCTTTGTGGGTGAAAAACAACTGAGATATTGTTATTTAAACTTTGTGACTATTTTCCAGAATTTATCTTTTTGACAAGGGTAAAAGGGTCATCTTGGGAACCATTTGATCTAGAGATGTAAATCAGGTGCCATTCAATTTCCATCATGAGGCTCTATAAGTATACCAAATTTGAAAGAAATCCATGCTGGTGATGGTCAGACCCTTGTTGATTTGATATGGAATGACTGTGTGTGTAGTTGTATATATGTAGTGTACCTTTTTTTGTTTTTTTGTCATGTGAAGATTCTGTTATTTCTTGCCCTTGTGCAATTTTTATTAATCTATGTCTGTCTTTCCTTTTGCAGTTTTGACACCCAATGATCCTTTTGCATTTCTTGGTGAGTGTCTAAAACTAAACTGTACACTATCATCCACTCAGTATGGCAATTCCTCCACACTTTACTATACCTTCAAAGAAAATATCTTCTCTAGTGACCACTATAAAATTGTTGATGAGAAAACGATGGAATTCACCAAGTGCATACAAGATATAAGTGAAGCTGGAACATACATTTGTAAACAAAATTTCACCAATGCTCAAAACCAAATGGAACTTCTTTTTGATGGACAAGTTGTTCGTATAGAAAGTAAGTGCTACAATTTTAATTTTTGCCATTTTCTTTCTTTTTTTTTTTTTTCAGTTCAGTTGACTTTCCATATTATCATTCCTTGTTGGAGGTGACATATATTATTATTATTATATATTATATACATAGATTCAAGTTCAATGGAAGTGAGAAAAACATATCTTTGTAAAGAGAAAATATTGTTTGCATTTTTATTTCTGCCTATATTTCTGAGATGAGTTATTGCAACTATTTACACTATTTACTTTGTTTGGACTGTTGTCCTCATCTTTATTGTTATATTCACGTTTCGGCAATTGTACACTCAAGCCTTCTTCAGGTGATATATGTTGGAATTTCAAACCAAACCATTTATTTTGTCCACTAGGTTTAGGGAACTAGAACAATCTACCCAAGAGTACATAATAAAGGGTTTGGTCAAAATTCTAACATATATCACTGGAAGAAAGCCGGAGCATACAATGACCAAAGCTTTGTGAATATAACAAGAATATTAAGAATTTGTCCTGAAAAAAATTTTAAGCCATCCTGAAATCAAAATGCAGAATATTACTACAAAACCAAAGTATCCATCTGAAAACTGGAGTCATGTCTTTAGTCTTGTCATATCAGGGTTTTTTTTATATAGATATCATACATGTCTCTAAACCTCTTCAGAAATATCTAAACCATCAGCTGTATACAACTGCTCTCTAAGATCAATGGTTAAATGAGGGGTCTTTCCATTACATGGATTGTCTCTCATTCAAAGTGATGAACCCAACACTCATCCTGGGTTAGGAAACATTCAAGGAAACCAACTGAACAATGTCAGATTTTCCTATGATGTGATCAGTCTGGTGCACTTTTGATGAGCTGTCAGAAGATGTGGTGCCCACCAACCAGAAATGTTTGTCATGCCAAATTCATTGGGCAGAATGTTCCCAATTTTCTTTTACGGGATATTCTAACAGCATTGGCTATTTGACTTATACTCAATTAATTAATTGCCTGTCATCCATCACGGTGTACAGAACTCAATCAATATTTCCTCAGTGGTAGCAGTTACAGAATGCCCAAATCTTGGGTCATCTTCAAAACTCTCCTTTCTAAATTCAGCTACCTACTGTAGAAACCATGTCAGCATGAATGTTCTTGGGGGCTAAAACAATGCCAAATTTTGCCCATTTTCAAGAGAAGTTACTACTGGTTATTTTGAAGTCTTTTATGTCAGATATCTACCTAGAAAGAAATAATGCAGTTCTTAATAAGAACAGTTGAAATTAATGCATGCAAGATTTCACAGCTCTAGCATCACTCCTTCATAGTCAGCCTATGAAATTTTCAGTCCACCTCCATAGAGTGAAATAATGCAAATATCTAAATTTAAATCCTTTAAAACTCATTTTTATTTGGGTTTTATTCACCAGTTTAAAAAGAAGGATCCAAAGGAAACTCTGAAAAGAAAACACAGTGTGTGATGATGGATAAATTCTTGTCTAAATGTTATATTTTATATTGGGCCTAATTTGAGATAAACAAACTCTCAACTCTTCATCAACAATAATTAGTTATAACTACAGGGTGCGATGGATAAATTGTCATCTAATTTATGCAAAAATGAAAATAACACTGACTTCTCATTTTAACAGATACATTTAACAAAATTACACAATATCTTGAAATACTAAAGAGTAAATTTATTCAATAAAATTGCCACTGGCTTCAAACACGGCTTTCAGGCAACTTCAGAATCTCCTTCAACTCTTCTGGATGGTGATTGCTGCCATAATCCTTCCCTCAGTTCATCTTTGGTGTTACAAGGAGTTTTGATTGTTTCTCGTTCAACTGCACCCCACACACAATAAATCAAGTGGGGTGGCAGTTTGGGGACTTAGGTGGCCAGATGTAAGTAGTGATGTGGTTGCAGAAATTGTCTGACAGCAATGACTAGGTTCTCCTGTTTACGTGGCATGGTGCAGAATCCTGTTGCCAGACATACAGTCTTCCAGCAGCCACACTCTTGACTCAGGGAAGTGCTACATCCTCAAGGTACTTGATGTAGGCCTCCATGCTGCATCTATTACATTCATCCGATTCTGTCCAATTCCTCTGCACTGTCCTCAGATTGCCAGCTAAACACTCTGAAATGTTTGTGTTGAATCTTCTGCTGTGAATGCCAAGCAGTACTGTTTTCAAATTTCTGGTGGAGTGAATTGAGTCATAGTGCTCTTTTTCTCACAAATAAAGTGGAAGAAGAAAAGACTGAAACCAGCCGAAAACCCCAGAAGTTTGTGGGATTGGAGCCTACTTAATATAACTATAAATCAAAATAAAACAGGCTCACACATAACTTCCATTTTTATATATATATATATATATATATATATATATATATATGAAAAAAAAAGAATGAAAAAGAAAGGAATGCTGGAAATAAAATAATTTTGGCCAATGAAAATAAATAAACACACTTTTGATGTTCACTGAAACCAAAGTTTATGTGAGAGTCTGGGTGTCTCGTCAAAAAGATATATGTGGACAGATATTGATGAGATAAAGTAGAGGATGGTAAGAGAAGCCATCCATGCATGACGTGTGTAGTAGTTATATTTCTGCCATTTTTAGGGTCAAGAAAAACACAGCAGATTTTTCTAAAATGACTACTACCATTAGCACGGTCTGACTTCAAACTACCCATGAGCTGAGCTGAAATGGACATTTCTTCAGAACAATATCTGCCTTATAAATAAACATTTTGCTACACTGAATATCAAAGGTCTCACTTTAAAGCAAAAGAATAAAAATTATTATACCTTATACCAAGTTTTGTTTTATTCCAAAGTTTCTGGTAAATAAATACAAAGAATATCCTGACACACAACAAACAATGTAAATTCCTTGGAAACAGGAAAGCTACTCATGCCAAACATTTAACTATAAAAAATATACCAACACCACAATTTTTTCAAGGTGTATATGGAGGAATTTATTGCATTTGACTGCATTCACTCTCCAGCAATATTGCTTTTAAAAAGTGATGATTGGAATTGTAATAAAACCTAAACATATAATGAAGGTGAATTTATACATTTTTTTTTTGTTAAGAATTCAAAACAAAAATATTAAGTACTATAAACTAAATAATCTAAAAACTAATTAATACAATTAAAACTAATGTAATGTAATATTTATCATTTACCAATTTAAAAGGAAATAACTATGAAAACAATTTTTATCCATAAATTTACTAAATTATAAATATAGGTGAAATCATTATTATTTAACATTTTATAAAGTTTGGATCAATTGGCAATTAGCCGGTTTTTTTGCCAACTATTTTAATAAATAATACTGTAAATAAACAATCTAATAGTGTTTATTATTTTATGTATAAATTCGTTTTCATATGTTTAAGCTTTCTTAAAATTCTAATTGCTTTTTCAAACCATAAACATTGCTGAAGAGTGACGGTAGTTAAAATAACAGGGTCAAAGGAAAAACTATCCATTTGACACTCCATCTTATTATAGGCATGTTTATCCATGTTTGGCTTTTTTTTAAATTAAATTTTATTTAAATTAATTTTATTTCTTGCCCAGATATTTCTTTAATGTCAATTAAAAAAATGCTTACAGATGTGCAATAATGTTCTTTTAATTTTGTCTTTTTCAGAAGCTTTGGTTCCAATTCCAAAAGATTCAATTCATTGCATTGTTACAAATTGGAAGTATATGAATTGTACATGGAGTCTGGGCGAAAACTATTTACAGAAAAATGAAATCAATGTCAGCTTAAGTTTCAAAATAATGTAAAGTTTGTCTTAATTTTTCTATTTCTGAAACATTTTATAAATTTTCTGATTTTTCACTGATATATTTATATACACAGATTTTTGTGTATCTTCTTCTGTGCTGTGTCCTTTAAGGACATTGAGGATCATTTCTCTCCATAATTTCTTATTCTTTGTAGCTCTTAATAAATTTTTTGTCTTTTTGTTGTCTCTTCTAAACCCTGTTCCACCATCCATTTACTCAAGGAAACTGTCATGTGCTGTTTTCCTCAGTCCCTCTTACCTTCAATCTATCCTGAGAGTATCAAATATTCCAAGTCCTCTTTCCTTATCACATACCCTAGAAATTTCAATTATCTCTCCCTGGTGTTATGTTTCAATGTCCTTTTAGTGATTAACAATTGACAAGTCAATGGTTAACTAACTAGGGAAGGCAACAAAAACCCACTCCATTATCAATCCCAAGAAAACTGTTTTTGTGTGAATAAATACATATAAAATTAACATATATGTTGTCAATGGTTGATTGTTTTGGGTAAGTCAAAAAGTTTGTTCTTTTGTTGTTAAATTGCATGAGGAGCTACTTCTTTTATATTCTGGGTTCCTTCAAATTATGGGTGATCATGGCTCTCCACAACTTCATAGCCTTTGTAGCTCTTAACTATGTTTATCTTTTTACTATCTCTTCCACTCTCTGTTCTTCCATCCATTTCCATCGTTAGACAGGGGGAAAAGCAGGTAGCCTACCTATCTTCAGTATGACTTGTGACTGTCAAATTCTCCAAGCCCCCCTCCTTCATTATGTGTCCTTTCAGATTGTAAGTATAAATGTCTTTTTTGTATTCATTTTCCTTAAAACATTTTTGTTGCTCACATGGTTCATCCATGGTTTTCTCAGCAATGTTACCTCATTCAGTAACCCTTTACCGTTGGCTCATGATCCTTGTTTCAACTGATACAAAGCTTGAGTGCCACTCATGGAAGAGGGTTACTGCTAAAATGTTTATGATGAGTGAGA